TAAGATGGGGGACGATTTTATTAAATTATAATTTCAAATTGGAGTATCTTCCATCAAACAAAATCGGGCATGCAGACGGTCTTTCGAGAATAATACTAAAGAAAACGGAGCCATTAGAAGATTCCGTAATTGCTGCTCTACAATATGAGCAAGATATTAGAACGTCATTATGTAGTACAATTCGAAACCTCTCCGTCACATTACAGGAAATAAGAAACGAAGCAGTGAATGACGAATTTATAAAGGAAACGAAAACAAAAATTGCAGGAAAAGATAAGCATATATCAGACAGTTTTTCGTTATGTGATAATGTTCAGACAGTGTTTCGTTATGTGATAATGTTGAAAGAGTAGTAACCCCGAAAACCCTACAAAAGAGAATCCTCAAGGATTTTCTCATGGGCCACCCAGGAAAGAACAGGGTGAAATCCTTAATGTGAAGTTACATGTACTGGCCAAACATGGATCAAGATATTATACATATGGTGGACAAATGCAAGGGCTGTTCCTTAGCAGCCAAGGCACCTCCGATCACTCATAAGCCATGGCCTAAGACAGATCGAACGTGGTCGAGAATCCATGTAGATTTCGCAGGTCCAATTGAGGGTTTCTACTACTTGATTGTAGTAGACAGTTACAACAAATGGCCAGAAGTATTTCGTTGGAGAAAACCTACTTCTGATCATCAAATCTCCGCCATATCACCCAAGGTCAAACGGGCAAGCGGAGAAGTTTGTAGATACATTAAAAAGAGCACTAAGGAAAGTTTATGACTTACCAACAGAAAGGCTTTACAACAATTCTTGCAAGTGTATATAATTACACCGAACAGTACTACGCCGTCGGCATTATCGCCGGTGGAAGTGATGTTTGCCCCCAAAATTAGATCACTATTCGACAAATTACTGCCAAAACAGACAAAACAATCACCAACGTCGTTTGTACCAAAAAGAAAATTTGGCCCAGGGGAGAAAGTATTTTTTAAAATGTTCAAAAACGACACATCCTATTGGGAGCCAGGTACAATAGAGAAATAAATCGGGAACGGGATATACATAATTATGGGGTCCGAAGTTCTCGCATAAAAGGCATTTAAATCAGATCGGAAAGAGGTTGTTAGAGGATTCTAACGGTCTACCTCAGGAAGAGGCGGAAGTAATGGACACAATATTTGACACATTCATTATGCAAAGGCCTCAAGCAATTTCAGAACTGCAGAAATCAAGCAGAAAAAGAAAATTTACAGAGACTTTGATGATTAATCCGAAGAGGAAAAAATATTAAAGAACTCTGCGAGGTAAAAGCTTGGGAAGGGGGTGTCATGGGTCCTTACCTATAACTACAGAATGAACTCTTCCTAACACTATGTATACCACGCCTCTCAAGACAGAGGGTTGAATCGAGTCGAGCCGATAGTAGTTCACTCCAAACCAGAATGACAGTCATACTAACACCTTCCAAATCTTGTATCATTATTTCATGTAATATACCTTCGTTATTTCTACTCTTGTTCGTGTTGTTCTTCCTTGGTCCTAACCTTGACCATAACAACTGTCAAAAAGGCAGTATAAATGATTTTATTGTATGTTAAATAATAACTTCATAATCTGCGAGGATTATAGGGTTGAATGTATACCACACTTCCCCTTGGCCTTGTACCGCAATTATTTCAATTGAAGCAATAAATAACTATGTTGAATAAAGCCAACTGAGTCGGCGGCTCATATCGCTCCCGATCGGTTCGTGCTTATCGATCTCGCATACATGTTCGATAATGTGTCGTCCCGTATTATGGGGAGAAACGAATCATGTTTCTGACGCTGTTAGCCGTGGCAAGAATGGTGATCTGGACGGCACGAATAGAGGGAATCTTGCGATACAAATGCTATTCTTATCAGGCTCTGGTCGGATTCTTTCAGCATCAGCTGATGGTCAAGATCAGAACTGATAGAAAGCGCTTGATATCGACAGATTTCAGCAAAATTGTGGGTGAAAGCAAACATTGAGGACACGCTTGCATTCATTCTTAGCAGTGACAATCTATTGCAATCGGACTTGTCGCCCTGGTACAGTCGGAAGAAGTGATTCCTGTGGACTATAGCAGGCGAGGAAGCAGGAGATAACAAAGGAGATGAACGCGGTTTAACTTGGTATTTCCGAGCTGGAATAAAGTCATCAATGCAGGCTTTCACTCAGGAGGAGACCTCAGCTGCGCATTTCTGAATTGGGTGATTAAAAATCACATTGCAAGGAACGTCTCGAAGAAAATCACGGAACGAGACCCAATCTGCTCGTTGATAGCAGAAAGATATTTAGTTGGTAGGCGGGTTATGACATGGGGAGGAGGAGAGAAGGGGATGTTTACAGATACTAAAGCATGATCAGAATTGCCAAGAGGGAAGTTCCGCGTAGTACAAGAGTCAAGGATGGAGGTAAACCAGAGATCAAGAAGAGGGGCGTTTCTGTCATGGTTACTGGGGAAACGTGTGAGGAAGTCAACCACTTGCGTGAGAGATTGAGAAGTTAATGGTTTGGATACCAGCGAGGTCAGTGGCAGAGTGTTTAAGCCACTTGGTATGGTGGGCGTTAAAGTCTCCGAACACAGATATGTCTTGCAAACGGGTGTAAGGAGAAGGCCGTTGTCTATATTATCGGAAATACTATCTAACACGCAACAGTCTTGAGAGGAAGGGAAATGGTAAAGAAAGAAAAAATAGCTGACTGAGATAAGTTGAGAGAGACGGAGTGGTTTGGAGATTTAAGAGAGGGTTCCATAGCTAGCGGGAGATGTACGTAGATATAAACTCCCAGACTATGCATGTGGACTTTTGAATCTTTTATAAGTAGAGAAAGGTAACCAGGAATCGAGAAATCAAAGGAATGGATAGAAGAGTTGAAATTAGTCTCACAGAGAGCTAGAATGTCCGGTGACTTTTTGAAAAGGAACGATTCTACACTTCAGAATTTGGTACGAATTCTTTGAATGTTGGAGATGGAAAAGTTAAGGGGTTTAGGTGATTTTGTTGGTCTGGTTTAGGTTTATATATTTGGTTGTTTATAGTCATGATGTGTTATATTGGTAAGGAGAAGGTCCTAAGTTAGTAATAGCAGCCGGTCATTTGATGTGACATATAAAGAAGGGAAATGGCGCAGACTTCAACATAGTGTGGCCTCTGCGTTGCCCACCGGAGCTACCTTCAGGGACACCCTTCCATACGCGACATGGCACTAAAAGAACCCCGATATTATGCAACTGTTGATCATGACAGCCTCACAAGACGCTACTCAAGAGTTCGGGCCCCTATCAGTCGGGAACAGTACCCAGAAAACTGCCAACCCGGTACCTTCAGTATGAAAACACGTTGCCACTAACCATACACATCACAAGAAATTCATGTTAGCATCACTGCTAAGGCCTGAGAAGAGGAAAGAAGCCGTAATCTCCATCCTACACAGGAAACAAGGGGTGGGTATCTGCTGCTGTCTAAGAGAGGGGGCAGTATGAACCGGGCGATAGGGGAGCCTATCTACTCCTATTAAACAAGAAAAACAACAACAACAAAAAGTCCGGGTTTAACTTCCATATACATCATTATAGAGAACGCTGAATGAAGGCATACCTGTAGGCAGGTGAGATAATTTTTTTTTATAATTTGGAATAATTCTGTTTTAACTTAAATCCGAATACTGACTTTTTCAGAGCATGTTAACCAGTGGGCCGAAAACGAAAAAAAAAAATTCAGAGAAGATGATATGACACGGTAGAAAAAAAAACAAAACAAACTTTACACTGTCTTAGTACAAAAAGTAGTAAAAACAAATTAAATTTGATAGTAGAAACTACAAAATATAAGAAATGTTAAATTAACACGAAAAAATACATTCTAAAAAAAAATGTGTGGTGTCATCTATTTGCGGTCGGCAAGTCTTTGCGCACAAAATACCCTTGGGAAAGATATGAATCTATCTTTTCTCCCCACAGCTTTGGGTTTAATAGCAGGACAGGCTAGGTTCTTTAGCCTTGGTTGGCAACCAGTCTACTGTAGAAATAAATGGCAACCTACTGCGGGAAAAATCTGCCTCGTCAGTCATGTATCAAAAGATACATAATTGTCTATGCGTGTATCACACATGGCACATAACTGACTGAGTGAATTTAGTTTCCTGAGATTTTTAGTTTAGATACTTTCGAAATACCAGGAACGGGAACGTTTTACAGTTTTTGTTGTTATTTTTTTTTTCTATCGAACTGTTACATAAACAAACATTTTGTGAATTATTCTTAGCCAAAAATTTATTTCCCTTCTGAGTCCTCACTCTACCTTCAGGATTAAGTTAAGGTGTCAGTTCGTCTTAGTAGAAATATTAAGATCTTGTATAAAGATTTGACCTCTTTTGAAAGTTGAAACCTTCCTTTATAACCACTCTTCTGCTTTGAAACCTCGTTTTGCCTTGAAATCTGATTTTATTCTACGTCTTGATTTGCTGGCCTGCTTCTTTAATTAGGAAATGAATAAGCTCTAGACACGCCTTAACTTTGTAGGGTCAGTCTATTCGGATTAAATGTTCAAACAAAGTTGCTATAAGATAGGGAATCACTCCAACTTGTAACTAGCATGACTTCGTGGTGTAGAAATGCGTGAAAGATTACTATGATATAGATAAGAAGCAAACAACAGGTCGATGTAAAGTTTGTAAAGTAGTATGTATTTGTAGTTTCTCATCTGACCCACAGCACGTTTGGAGAAAGCAACAGTTTGTGGTGAATGCGTTATTGTTTTTTTAAAAAAAAAAAGGAAGAAGGTAAGCCTTTTTTCTGATTAAAAGAAATATGTTTTAATAATGCGAGTCGCTTCATTTCGCATTAAACATCAAATTGAGAAATTTTCCCGGCATGAATATAGTGAAATGAGTGGAAAAGTCGTACAATAATTACAAATAATATTTTAATTTATTTCTGCAGGATGGGACTATACTTAAAGTAAGACGATATTTGTTCAGATCTATCTATCTATCTATATATCTATCTATAACATAATTCAAGAAAATGACGTGAGCGCCTTTTTATATAATTTTATATATCCAGGAATCTTAAAGACGTTGGAAAATATTCTCCGTAATCTAATTTTAGGAATCTTTTTATTTTAAATTTACTGTATTCATCGCTCTTTTTTTTTTCTGATAATGTTGTGTATAGTAGTCCATACTTTCAAAATGGGCACGTTCATACAAGTAAAAAAAATAATTTAAAATTATTTTTAAAGTTTTGGTGTGCCATGTTTGATTAGTAAATATAGTTTTCACTTAATAGCAATATCGCCTAACGCAATCAAAGTAATGCAAAATTTTAAAAGATTGATATTTAAATTATAATAAGTTATAATTAAAATTTAAAAAATATGAAAACAATTCTTGTAAAATTTGATTATCCATTAATTTTTTTTTCTTAAGACAAAAGTGTTCTTAATAAATCTTAGTTATTAAAGCAATTAAAAACATTTCTAATTAAATCTGTTTTATTGCATTTTTCATCTTACGATTTGGAGTAGATGTTCGGGAAATGAGTAACAGTTTGAAAAAAAAATGTATTTTACATTCTCTAAGAAAACCTGCTTTTAGTTATTAAAACAAATTTTGTAATCAAAACTTAATTTCTTGAAATGTCATGAAATTACGTGAGTGGTGTTGTTGGCGGAGGGTAACATATGTAAAAATACCAAGATTTTCTAAAAAATATAAAAAAAATATTTTTTTTAATTGTGAATAAGTTCTGAAATTACATTAAAAACTGATAATTAGTTGATTTTTGTAAGAATTTCCAAATCAATGTGTTTTTACCGAAAAAACAAAAAAACACAAGAACACCAAAAGTAAATATTACGCCAATCGCTGATGAAAAAAAAAAAAAAAAAAATTCGAACGTGCTAGAAAGGATTAATAAATTTAAGAAAATAATAAAAAAAAATGTACTTTGAACTTATTAATAATAATAACCTAAACATTTCGACCATGAAACTTAGTTTTTATTGAGTTTGGTGCCTTTTTTCGACGTCATGCTGATTTTCATCGAATCAATGGAGGGACTTACTTTTTTTTAACCTTGAAATTTGACCAAAGGAAAATGAAAATATAATTATAGAGTACATGAAAAAAACAAAAATCATGACGATTCAAAATAAATATAAGAGCAAAATCCTTTTTTTAAACAATAAATTCTAAGCTCTCCGGCGACATTCAGGCGAAGTTGCTATGGGTCAGGCAAGCGCCTGAGCTTGTAACTGGCATGGCTTCGCTGACGCTTGGTGTACACGGGTGATCTGCGTGAAGGGTTACTCTAGATAAAAAAAAAATAGGTCGATGTCAAGCGTCAATGTTTGTCTACTCACCCCGTTAAAAATAGACTCTTCTATAAGAATTAGCTTTGACCAATCAACACCGCTCATTGTGAAACTCGGCTTGTTATTGGTCGAGACGACCCTAGAATGTGTATCCATGGTCAAAAATCTGTTTTCCCGCCAGGCCAATGGGAGCCTACTTTGGTTTCCCAAACTAAATAAAAGGACGAATTTCAGTCCAATTCACCAGTCAGACCTCCACACCCAGAGAGATGCACATCAACTCCACGCCAGTCAAAAACTCTGACTTTGCCGCGTAAAAATATTCTCTGACTCAGCAACCTTCGCGCACACTCTATCTCTCTCTAGAACATTCCTCAAACTTCACATACTATACTTTTCAAAGTGATATTTCTCACTGCATAACAAGTATCAGAAACTAACAATCTATTTTTCTCAAGCAGATAAAGGTACGCAACTCTGAACAACTTTGAATATTTGTATAAACACACTTACGTACATACACTAACGATTCAACCTCAACATCGAACATTTTTACGTTGATCAAACGAACAGTTTAATTCTGTGAACAAATCTAATCAATACCTGCAAACGCACCCAAACATTCACAATAACACAATACACAATTAAATACACTAATCCTCATTTATCCATCAAATCGTAAACCCACAGTATATTAAATTGTATATAAATTGATGTTATTGTTATGCATTCAACTTTTGTCTTGTTTTCAACTTTATTTGCATGATTTGTTCCAAGTATTTGTTCTAAGTAATTGTTGTGGACGAATGTTGTAGAACACGGCCTCGAAATTCCTTCTGATCAATTTAAACACAATCACCAGTCCGCAACAAATTGATGACGTTCGTCGTTCGACGTTCGCAACAAAATGACCCCGACGTTCGTCGTTCGACGTTGCCAACAAATTGGTAACCACCGACGTTTGTACCAACAAAATTGCTATCTCCGACTTCTGAATAAGGCTACATAATTGATAACCACATTATTCCGTAAAAACCTCAGTCGACATGGCAGATCCTATACAGCCAACTGAAGCTGCACTCAGGATGGAACTCCCTACCTACAACACGAATGCACAAACATGGTTCATACAACTCGACGCGATTTTCCAAGCCAGGCATGTGACGTCCCAGCAGTCGAAATTCGCATTTGTAGTGGAGAAGCTTCCCGCTGAAATCGCTGCGGAGGTAGCGGATGTCCTTATTAATCTCCCGCCCGAAAAGCCGTATGAGGTGCTCCGGCAGGCAATCTTACAACGAACAGGGTGCTCCGAGGAGCGAAAGATTAAGGATCTTCTTACGAATGTCACATTCGGGAACAGCAAACCCTACCAACTTCTTCGGAGAATGATAACGCTACTTGGTAACAACACTATATCCGAAACAGTATTGAAGCAAATGTGGCTGGAGAAATTGCAGCCTGATATCATACAAATATTAGCAGTCCTAACTGAGGTCGATGTTCACAAGTTAACATCGATCGCTGATAAAATAGTGGACACGAGACCAATTCGCCAAATTTCCTCTGTCGTGCCATCAGATGACCCGACCCCGGATGTTAACCAGCAACTTCATGTTTTGACGACCGAGCTAAAGAAGTTGTCTTTACGCCTCGACAGAATTCAAAGTATTCCTGGACGAAGTCGCAGTTATTCAACTAACAGACACAATACCGGTAGGCGGCGATCAACGTCGAGACAAACTCGTCACCATCAGAGAGGCTATTGCTGGTACCATGAAGTGTTTGGTGCCCGCGCAAGGAAATGTCAGTCACCATGTGCTTATAAAAACGCGGGAAACGCCGAACCTGGCAGCCATTAAAGGCGTGGGCCGCTAGGGCAGATAATGGAAATCGCCTATTCTACGTATTCGACAACAACAGCAAGTTAAAATTCCTAGTTGACACTGGCGCTCAAATCAGCGTTATACCGCTGAGCTACTGTAACAAGTTATCAATAATACCCAGACAAGCCCAGCTAAAGTTACAGGCCGCAAACGGCACATCCATAAACACGTATGGCGAGCGTGTCATGTCTCTAAGTATCGGCCTACGGAGGGAGTATACATGGACCTTCACTATAGCCGATGTCGAGATACCTATTATAGGAGCGGATTTCCTCGCACACTTCAACTTGTCCGTCGAACTGTCAACTCGTACGCTTACCGATACGTGCACAGATATACGACGACGAGGATTTTTATCCAAGCTTTCCATGATTGGACTAACACTTTGATACTGTTGAAACTGACTAATGCATGGATACAACTTAGAACAAAATGTATTGAAACAAGAAAGTGTATACAATATTTACATATAGTGTATATTCTTGGGAAATGGTTGCGAAGATTTGATTAAGCAGTACAGTCTCTGGATTGAATCTCTTGATTCTTTTATCACCGTTCAACCATATTTATATGGTCAGAACCCATGCAAAAGGTGGATCCACAACAGACGACACATTTACAAATCTTTTTTTCACCGTTCACTCATACAGAACCCATAAAGCACAACACGACACATACAATTAAGACAACTGGAGCCCCAGTCCACGTTTCACCCCGTCGTCTACACCCAACTAAATTACGGGTGGCTAAGAAAGAATTCGATAATATGCTCAAGATGGGCATAATAAGACCATCTTCCAGTCCTTATGCCACACCGTTACACATGGTCCCTAAGAGCGAACCTGATAGCTGGCGACCGTGTGGAGATTACAGACTCCTAAACGCTCAAACCGTGCCAGACAAATATCCAATTCCTCATATTAAGGACTTTGCTTTGTCCCTTGAAGGCGCTACTGTTTTCACCAAACTAGACCTAAGGAAAGCTTTTTACCAGATCCCTATCGAACCGTCTGATGTTCATAAAACAGCGATTACGACACCGTTCGGTTTGTACGAATTTACCCGAATGCCGTTCGGACTCCGTAATGCTGCGCAATCTTTTCAGCGCCTTATCGATGAGGTTCTCCGCGGATTATCTTATGCATATGCGTACATTGACGACGTACTAATGTAAAACGCCTGAGGAACATTAACCATCTACAGTCAGTATTTGAGCGGTTACAACACTACGAACTAAAGCTGAACGTCGATTTTGCTTATTCGCTGTCCCCAAATTAACTTTCCTTGGCCACGTCATTGATAAGAATGGGTCCCTGGACGAAAAGGTCAAGGCGAATTTCCCACCACCGTCAACATTACGACAGCTACGGCGATCCATAGGCATGATTAATTATTATCGCCGATTTATACGCGACTGTGCCATTATACTTCTTCCACTGACAAATCTCCTTTCTAAGCACAAACAAAAAAAAACAAGATTGTATTATCTGTGGACGAGCTGGATTCTTTTCATAGAGCGAAGCAAGCGTTGCAGGACTGTACTAAACTTGCGTATATTACATCTGCACCCGACACAAAACTGACGCTAACTACCGATGCGTCGTCGGATACAGTTGGTGCAGTACTTCATCAGATAGCCAACGGTGTGGAAAGACCACTGTCCTTTTTCTCAATTAAGCTAAATACGGCCCAACGGAAGTATAGTACCTTCAGCCGTGAACTATTAAAAATTTATTTAGCCATCAGACACTACCTGCACATTCTAGAAGGTCGTGATTTTTCCGTTTTTACAGACCATAAGCCGCTAACATA